ACGTCACTTCTCACCGCAAGTTCACTGCCAGTTCACTGCAAGTTCACCACAAGTTCACTGAAAGGAACGTCCAATGGATAATCGATTAGTCTTTCCGGTCGATCGGTGGAAATCAAGTTTGTCTATTTAAATCCGTTAATTTCGCGGAATTCCCTCTTCAGCGTTTATTTTCGATGCACGAGACGATGAATTTACTCCGAAAATCGAAATTTTTTCACTTTTCGAGAACGGCTCGAAGGATTCTAAAGATACAGTAATTTGGAAATTATAAAGCAGGAGGACAATTTCGAGATTAACAATGTACCGCATTACTTCTGGAAATTTTCCATTCTTTGAGGAATACGGTTCTTGTATAAAATTCAAAATTGCCTTACTTCAAGTGACATATTCACATTTTATAAAAGGGTGTTTAAACTCACCCAACAACTAAACGTTACTACCACGTAATGGAAACTTTCCGTTGTAAATAATACCCAATAAACGGAACTTCTAACCATTAATTGAATCCATGCCTGTTTTTATAAGATCCTTTTGCAGCCGCTACGTCATTAAAAATTTCGCGTAAAAACAGGTAGGATCGATTTTGACTTAAATGTAACACGACCGCCTACAAATTGTATGCCTCACGGAAATGACACAAAATAACACCTTTCACACCCAGTTTAACACAAGGTTTTGTTAAAGTTTCTCTCGGTATCGACAGGATCTACTTTTGCTCGAGGCAGTTCTAATTTTACCGAACATTTTGAACTGCATAAAACACAAACCTTACCCTCTTTACTCAACTACCGAAAAGGTTTCAAAAATTATTACCTCTATAACTGTTTTGTTTTTCAATTCATATTAAACATACATATATCTCAGGCAATATATATTATACCAACAATACTGACATTTTTGAAAATATTCAACTTTAGTTCCGATGCATTTCCTTGCTGCACAAAAATTGCTAAGAAACTTGAATAAATCCCACGAATTGGTCATATGTATCCCTTTTATAAGTTTTCTATCTTATAGATAATTTATATATTCTGTCGAATAGGAATGTTCATACATTTTATATATTGCCATAATTTGTGGTTTTAAAATATTTTCAGAGAGATACCTTTATCCTTTTGAGTCGAATACTTTCCCTTTAGTCTTTACAACTTTTGCGTCTCGTATTTTTGCCTTCAAGTACAATTTCCTTTACACCTTTCAATGCTCTCGCGATTTCGATCTATCCAAGAAAACGAAGTTGACGTTTGTGCCATCGGGAGCTCTTTATTCTCCACTATACTCGAAAACGATATCCCCCATTACCTTCTCTCTGTGTATTATTACGTTTCTAGTGTAAACTTTCAAAAGTTGATTATACATTTACTTGGCTTCACGTTGACGGAAAGTGTAAATAACATTTAAAAGCAACGATATCTATCAATTACGTACTTCTTGTGTAAATTCGTACATGTATGTGCAACGATCAAGACTTTTCCATATTTCTTTCTTTTTTCAAATATTAATGAAAAACGCGTTAAGATAACAGATCTAAAAATGTGTAGAAATCGTCCATTTTGTTTATTGTAAAGTCTTAAGAATTTCTCAAACTTCATTTTTACTTTTTCAAATCTATTCTATATCGTCTGTATTCTATACCCGAAGTACTTGCATAAAAATGTTTAACGTGGGTATCAATTATCACAAATTGCAAGCCCACTCAGGGAAAACGGAGACAGTACTCCGTTGGACCATCAAAAATGACAAAGGGATACAAGTGGAAACCTCGGAAGAAACTCCTTACGTGATCGGGTATCTTTCTTAAATTTCAAGTTAAATGAATTATATATCAAGAAAATCTACGATCCTTCGATAACATGCAAATTAAGACATCGACTGTACTATTTACCACGTGGACAAAGGAAAACTAAATTTTGGGTTTCCTCCTATACAAATGATCCGACAAACTACTTAAACCACTAATTATATCTGTTTGATATTCCAATTAATTATCAAAACTCTCGAACGTATAAATTCTGTGTTCCAGAAAAATGTTAAAACTTTTATTTTATCCAAATACGTATGATAGGCGCGAAACACTGACCTAGTTTATGGTAAATCCATGAAACTCGATGGTAAATCACAACATAACGAAGAGAAAACGCAAACATCGTACCATACATTTTTAATAATACTTCAATTCATTTCTCAATTTATCGACCTAATAATTTGTTCTATTTTCTCCTCGCCGTAAATGCGAAAGCAGAGACAGAAATCCATGAAACTCCAAAACGAATGGAATTTTCGTAATGAAAACGCGGCCAACTTCCCGCAACTCGGCGCCATGTGCGGCAACTTCACGGCGACCCGCGAGGATATCTCCCGCAGAGTTAGTAGCAAAGTCCATGCGAAACAAAAGAGAGTAATTACGAGAAAAACCGCAAACGTAGTCGGCATTAGTTTACAGCCCACGAAGCCCTCGAGACAATTAGCATAGACTACCTGAAGACTTCTCTTTCCCGACTTTTCTTTTATCCTTCAACGAGCCCTGTGTACCCGTCAAGATCTTTCGACATCTCTTTGTCAGCTTCCGTGGCGTATTTCGTCGGCTACCGAGAGGAAGAGAGACAGAGGTACGGGTTAGGCTCGTGACGTAAGTGGGAGACAGGCGAGGAAAGAGTGAGAGGTGGATGCGGGAGAGGTGAGCGAGAGAGAGAGCGACGGGGTGACGGGGCGCCGATGCGGGTGAGGGTGAGGGTGGAGGGGGGTGCAAGGGGGCTTAACGCGCGAGAGAGAGGGCTGCGAGCGAGCAAGCGAGACCGAGCGACACTCGCGGGTATGGAGCGCGCGCACGCGCGCGCACCTACTAGAGACGTACGAACCGAACGGCGGAAGCGCTAACACTGAGCGCTTGAATCGCGGGGGTTGCGGCCGGCTCCTCGGGGTGGTGGGTGGCGCAGCCGGCTCGGGTGGGCCGCTAGTTCCGCGGCGCGCCTTCCGGCGGCGCTACCTGTCGCCCGAAGGGGCGGAAGTGAGCGCAAACTGTGAGATATTCTACGTTAATTGTTTAATGCTCGTTAATTTTTGATGTAGGATTTAGAGGATTTATATCATAAAGTATTATAATGAGACATACGCCTGCAGTCGGTCTAACTATGCAAGCGCCATGGATAATGTAGGAATCCCGATACTAAATGATCAATTTTCTATCGATATAAATAACCTAAATTGCTTTTAGCTGTGTAGTTAAGGTGATACGAAAGGATCATTCTGAATATATAAAACATAAAAATATTTACATAACTTTTCTTCAAGCTAGGTGCACCGAATCGTTGGAAACTGCAGTACGTAATTATGAAAGCCCTAAGGAAGAACGTGGTGTTTATAAAATTTAATAAAAGAAAATGTATTCTTGGTTCTAATCTGGGATAAATGAAAAACATTGTGACTAAAAATGCAATTTCATGAGCACCATGTTGTTCCTTAGGGTCTCTGCAATCACATTCTGAAGTTTCCAACAATTCGGTGGATCTAGTTTAGAGAAAAATGTTATACACATTTTGACGTTATATATATATTCACCTTTCATATCACCTTAAGATATGCAATGTAGAACAATAATCCGCACATATTAAACACAGTCATGCTTTTAATGTGATAAGGAACCGAAAATCATTATTTGTAGATTCACTGAATGTATATTTAAATTAATTATTTACTCTCCCTGTTATACATGATATATCCAAAGAATTATGAAACAAATAACATCACTTTCAGAGTCATCAAAAGAATGTATAAAAACAATTTGGAGGTGTCGACTATACTTTTGGAATTTAGCATATATAATCTCGACAAAGATCAAGCAATTTCATTGAATTATCGGACGCAGATAACTACGGGAACCGATACAATCATCGTTAAGCATTTGGTAGAGGGTGATACGCGAAACACAATGAACTTCTGGAGGATGCTTTGACATTGACGAAGTACCAAATGCCTCTTGTAAACACCGGGGGATTAAACAAGCGGAATACCGGACTACGTGTAAATGCGTGGTTGGGAGTGAAGTATTCGCGGTACGGTAACATCGACTACCAAACAATAGGCCATTCTGCTTACAACCCACAGTTGTTGTACCCTGTAGTAAAAATGAACGTGAACATGAACGCCATGCCCAGAACAATCCATTTAAGAAATTTCATAAAATCAGAGCACGTAAAATCTTCTGAATTTTTGACATTTTCTCTAAGCCTAATTTAAACAAAATCCCAATGTTTCATAATAAAATGAATAACTGTACGTGTCTTATCGACCTCGATAACCATATGTCCGTTTCGTAATAAAATAAATGTATATACCTTTTCGACCTTAATATCCATGTGTGAAATATCTTACCATGTTATAAATAAGTAGAACAAAATTTTAAAAAAGCTATTGCGTGTCAGGAATATATCGAAATATTTGGTGAGAGCTATTTTTGTTCCGTGTAAATCCGGGATTCAACGGAAAAGGTGTACGTAGACTATTTACGTGCCTTTGTATATCATTATGACACTGATCGTGATTTACGAAAGATTACCCGGGAATCAAGGTTTCGGAAATGTCGGCTTTGGTCCTCGGTTGTGGGATCGTGGGACCCTCCCTATTGGAATGTAGGATCCCAAATCCCCCTCAGTCCCTTAAGTACGAGAAATCCTGGTTTTTTCGTGACAGACACGAACGCACCGAGTACACTTCCCTGAGTCAACCAACAACAAAAGCCCTATCGGAAATGTCGGAGCTGTTTATACAGGATTTTCATTACTTCGACCTTTCCATTTATCTTCCTGTTAATTCTGCAGGACTTGATACCAAGTAAACCGGTATTGGCAGGCCTGTAAAAATCGATGAAATAAACTAGGTTAATGTAAGTATTCTTATGCCACGCAAAATTAAGCACGCGATAGGGAAACGCATTTTACGAGTCCAAGGGAGGTGGATCTTGATTTCGGGGCACACAATCTGGTGTAGATTTTATTTACAAGCTACACTAGATTAAGTACATGATAGGGAAACGCATTTTTTCGAATCCAGGGGAGGTAGGATTTGATCTTCGTGTAGACGTCAGGATCTCCAGAACCACATTGAGTGCCCCACGAGAGAATTCCAATCTGCACGTTGTTCAGAACGAGGGGGCTGGCGTTGTCACCCTGAATAAATTCGGAGTAACGTTAAATGATAATTCATGAGCAATAAAGACTAGAATATATATGACTCAAAGCTCCGTTCGGTAACAGTGTACCCTATTAGTTCGCAATTAGCATAAATCGCTGTAAGTGAATTTACAATCACATGCACAGAATTTTAATATACACTTTTAACATCCTTTCACATATTTCGATGAAAAGACTTTTCTGCGTACTTTTTGATACATTTACTGGGTATGGAATAATGTTGCCAGGAAGCTTGGCTGGGAGGAAGATATCGTCTCTCATACGAGCACTCTGCACGTGGGATAATCTTAGGTCTTACAAAGTACATACTATGTTCTTGATATACATAAATCCTGCAATGCATTATCAAACTATATAAAACAGGAAACAACTTCCCTATCAATCCTCTAAAATGTCTCTATACGTAGCTAGGGACCTCCCCAAGATCCCTGCACTCGCATCATCTTCGTTTATGGTTACGTTTTATGTTATTTCTCCGGCAATTCCATCGTAAAAACCGGCATCGTGCAATTTTCTAAGTTCTAAAAGACCCCCACGTCAGATGTGCGATATAAACCCACGAATGTAAATGGCATCACAACCTCGAAGGGATGTCAGAATGTAATGTCGAAAATTCAGAATCTCGGGTTATAGAGTGACGGAATGGGATTGTTTCGGCTTCGCCAAAAAGTTATTTAAGCGGAGGAACTTCCTCGACATTTCTTCCCTGCCGAAGTGACGAAACAATACGTCTCTCGGGATCAGTTGCGGGAAATATTTCTACGGATGAAGGATCGGAGCTTTCGGTCCCCACATTTTTGTCAGACCTTATGAAAGTGTAATGAAGATCTCCATATGTATTTCCTGTGATCCTACAGTTGTACATATTTTAACACGTAGCTTTGCTCTCGTCACTTTGGAAAGAAAATGTTGCCAAACATAAATAACGCTTATCTAAGATATCTATCCTGAAAATTCGAACACCTTTGTAAATATTAGCAAAAATTGAATTTATGGGGGAAAAAACAACAAAGTTAAGAGCAGTCTTTAACCAACCGTAAAGGGCTCTCTTGTGGTTTCCAAGAGAAAAGTTGGTGGGTAAGTGATATATCGGAAAATGCGAACGGAAAGATTTAGTTGTCGAAAATAAAGTTGGGCAATATAAAGTCAGAAGACAATAACCTCCCCTATGGCGAAGTCGTAAATGTAATAGAAAACTGACGTGGGATTTTCTTCGTGGGGAAATCTGAGTAATACTAAGACTCTTTTAAATAGCTCTTGCACGCGAAAACAGTTGTTCTACATCCGGATACTTTAAACCATAAATTAGAAAATTCATAAATTAACATTCTCCGGCAGTTCCCACGCATCCGCAGTATACGATATTTCTACGTCGCCGTACCGCGAAAGTGGCGATCCCGTAACGTTCTTCTCTAAATTTCCATAAGCCTGGCGAAAAAAATATTTATTCATAACATTTTGATTCTACTACGATACAGATGAAAAAAAAATGAAGAATAATAGAATCTTGAAAAAAATTCGACTCCCACAAATTTACCGACTTTTCTTCATTCATTGTAGCCCACCTGCATTCCCATCAAATATATGGAAAAAAAAGTAAGTCCTCCTAAATCAGATAAACGTTGTTTTCATAACAAAAATCGACGGTGCGATTTATTACTGACAAATACGGTTTATTTGCACTAAGTGCTAATATATTCAACGACATTAATCGTCCCGGCGCAAATAAATTATATCGGCCAGTAAATTGCGGCACAGCACCCCGTCAAAGGAATATTTATTTGAAGCAATGTTTAACCCTGCTGATTTATTGAAAAACATTAATGTGCATTTGCATCATTGAGTAAACCAAAGCTCTCTAAAGAGCAATGTATCATTCGTTAGACAAGCAATCCAAAATACAGAAATCTGCGGCAGGCAAAACGAGAAATCCTATAAAAACTTCAAATTAATATATATCCGTGTAGTCACTTTTCACTTTTCATTTTTTTTGTTTTTTAAAGAAACCTGTCAATCGTGTTCTTAATAACGCATGTTCTCACGTATCCCCCCATCCTTTGGTAGTGCCATATATCTAACTCCTTGACCTACAGGCACCGCCGACAAATACCAAATGTGTTTTATGCAAGCCCGGGATCGTCGGATATCTTTAGAAACAAATAAAGGCATAATTAATCACCGTTGCGTGTATAAATATTCCAGATGCCCTTAGAGCTGCTGCAGAAATATCTCGCGTGGTTACCCGGCCACGTTTTCCCTCTTATCCCTATGCGGCGTGCAAGAGTAAGTTATGGCGCTCTTGGCGAGGATTAATACAACTCACTATGCAAGACCCCTGGGAGTAGATGTTGCCAGCACAAATATGTCTACTCGATATTTCTCGACCGGTACCAGCCAACAATTCCTGACAGACCTTCAAAGGAACCACGTCGACCCCTGCCTTCTGCAAGAGCGAGCCCTCGTCGTCGTACTCCTCCGGCTCGTTAGGCTGCAATGAATTGTCATAACTTATTTTTTATTATTTACTAATCTTGAGAAATTATCTCTTGACAGAGATATAAAATCTTCTAGTTATGCATTCTGAAGGGAAGGAAATATTTTGGAAATGTTGACTGCACGTCTTACCAGAGCTTTCCAGCCTGAAACGGTGGCCAATTTTCCCGGGAGGGGATCGTGATCTTCGAATTTTGGCAATTTTATAGGCCGAGAAAACTCCGACATCTCCATTGGAAGGACTGTCTGAAATGTTTTTAAAATAGAGTCAACCTGTGTTTCGTACCGGAAAAGAAAAGAAATCGTTGATATTGACATCTCTACAGTGGGATGTTATGTCCTGAGTTTAGGAGAGAGGACACAGGGACGAGACAGGAAAACAAATGCCTGACGTCACAAGGATCTCCAGACTGCTTGCGATCTAGGCCGATCCGTGATTTTTTCAACGATCAATCTTCCCCTCCACACAGTATGTCGGAAGGCTTATCAAGCGAATATTATTCAGTTCAATACGGGATCTCGAAGCAGATAGTTTCCCATGTTCTATTCAATAATTTAATAAATAAATAAAATACATAATTCCGAGTGAAATTAACTTTACTAACTCTGAGGTATCGTGCGTGTGATACAACCTGAGTCTCGTATCAAATCCGTAAGTGTACTAATAAGTAAATAAACTGTATATATAAAATTCACGTGAAAAGAAGCCGTAACTCAAATTGTTAGATTATGGGAAACCGTAGTATTTTTACGAAAGGTAACAATTATTAAAAAATGATGATGACTCATATACGTCCATTTTTTCAACTATAAAATTACACTGTCTAGGAAAAAGACGTTGACATGTCGCACTGATCATAAATTATTATCAATTTACTTCCAAGTGAAGCCGTAACTCGGAGCATTTACGCAGCTATGAAAACGAATACGTACATATAAATTTTCAAGGATGTACATGCAAATGGAATTGGGAGCTTAGACGTCCCTTAAGACCATTTTGGAGCATACTCCATAAATCAACGGGAAGTCTCGGCAGAAATCAAAGGTTAGTGCTCTGGTGACACATAAATTCCCGGCAAAGCTCAGATTTCTCCCGCTTTTCGTAATTTAGTCGAAGAGCTCTTGCCTTCAATATGGCGAGGTCGTGTTGCCCGTCTCCGGTATAATTCGGGTGTATGACCACTGAATAAACGTTGTACCATCTGCCACCCACGGATCGATGAATGGTACCGATGACGACGTCCAAATGACTGGGCCTGTCTTTATACCTGAAAAATCCGCCAATATAGTCACAATAGCAGACTAGAATGAGTAAAATCTGAGAAAATGCAAGCAAAATACAAGTCGTATTATTGTTTTCCTTCCGCACTTTGCTGAAGTTCATCTTCTAATATTACAATAATTTGTCTGCACATTTAACCTCTAGGTATACATTTCAAAGTAAGAGTTCTTTACATTCGGCGAAAGATGAATGAGGCAGAATTTAATTCAAAATAGACATTGAATTAGTGTAAAATAGTTCGAATTGTTTAATTGAGTTATTTAGTGAATTAGCAACCAGGGCACAAGGCAGACATTTGTCTGATGATTTTCGCAGATTGGCATGCTTGAATCCTAAATTACACCATGTAGCCAAATATTTCAAATACTGCGCAGTAAATTAATTTCGGACTGAATTTTAATTAATACTTTTGCATAATTACGCTCAAAGTATGGGCAGAATAAAAACTTCAGATTATGCTTGTTTCGGAGATCGGTTTAGGTGGGAGATTGAACTCTAATTTGCATATTTAGTTGCTGCGTAAATAACATCGCTACACCTTAAAAAGAAGTAGTGAAGCCTTTCGCAGAAAAGAGGAAAATGTATTAAATCCACGTCAGGGCATATTTTAGGTTGACATGAGATTATTTGATGCCCGGATACAGTATACTTCCGAAAGAAGTTACCAAACTTTGGTAGTACATCATCCTCACTTCACGAGGAAAAGATGGTACGAATATACTCTTATAACACTCCATTAAATTTCATATCCTCGACTTATTTCTCACCCAAAATGCCAAATTTTAATACGAACATTCTGATAATAACATATCAGAGGATAATAATTATCTGCTGATAAATCTTCTGATAATTTACCAAAATTCCGAAACAATATCAGCACGTGACATAAAATAATATTTCTTCCTCCAAAAAGTTGCTGCATGTATCTTTAAAAAAAAAACAACGTTTTTCGAGCGATTTTTATGTGTGGTCATTATCAATAAACATTCCGACAACTTGTAAAATTCGGTCCAATTCGTTCTCCAAGGCGTAGAACTACTACGACCGAGATGAATGACCATGTTTCCACGATAACGAATAATTTATTTGCAGACGACGTTTCAGCGCGTGTCAGGTACATTGTATAACGGGAGAAAAGTTGGGTTAAAACGTCGTTACACGTGTTGTCGGTGCCCATGTCGACGACTGAAAGGTGCTTGACAAACGCGACATGCAAGTACTTGTAGGGCTCGATGTACGCACCGATTACGGGGAAATCGCATTAACATAGCCACGCACTATTAGGATAATAACGTACCGAGTGACGCAGTGTGCCGAGGAGAGTACATGTCGCTGGTTGAGAATGGTGCCGCTGCATAAAATCGCCCGAGATTGCATGTAAATCGCGACATGATACGGCAGCTCTCCTAAACGTGCCGGCGTACTTTGTAGCGGCTCATCTAAAATCATTATTGCACATTAATTGTGATTATCAGCCGATCAGAAACTTTATCGACTTGGCGCTTGCGTGGCTGCTGGCAAGATTTTAACGATTTTCCTGATATTTTATTTTGAAATCTTGTCCCAGCGCTCCGGAAATTAGCAAACTATCGTGGCATTCTAGCTTGAGAGTTATAAAAGACGGTATATTCATTGTAATATTAATTTGTCCCATAAGTTCCTGAAAAAATTCTGCTTGCAAAAAATGTTCCTCGGTCATAATTGCCAGTTTAAAGAACTGTCAGAAAAGTGACAAGCAATGATCAACAGTGTCGGAGAATGCATTATCAATTCACACGTGGTTTGTTTCATTACAAAAAATTAATTTTTTAATTTTTACAAATATGTTAGCAAATTTATGGCACAATTTAATGATAAGTATGATACGTATTATCGAGTGCAAGCACTTTTAAAACTCCATAAACGGACTGTACATTATTTTAACATATTCACCAAAAAACAGTTCCCGGTTAGGTCGTGTACAGTTCTCTTATAATATATGGAACCTCTTTTAAGTTAAGTGGCTGCCATTTTTTGGCCCCGAAATGGCTCGATAAGTATCTGGAAGCGAAACGTAATCATTGCAACAAACTGCAGGTTCCCTCGGTTCTGCATAATGTTATCCGACGTTACAGCAGTTCCTCTACCAACGGTTAACGTTGCATCCGCGACAAGTAATGGCAGCTAATGATCCTACTTGCCACTAAGGATGCCTGCCCCGAAGAAATAATTAAATAATTATAGTAATTAATCCGAGTGAGATTCTAATTAGCGCAGTCGTTTACATGGGAAATTGCTGGCTCTTCTTAGTCCCCGGCCCAATATTCGCGCACGGCTTATTAAAAAAAAAAGAAAGAAAATGAAGTAATGAAATTGGCGAATCAAATCAGCATTAACACCAACAATCCACTCTCGCTAATTTTGTCCTACAAATACCCATTCAAATGCTCGTCTTGTGAACTTTCGCGTTTTTATCCTCTTATGTAATAACATGAGAGATAATTATGTTTAATTTATCAATACTTATTTAGAGTTATAATTTATGTACAGATTTTAGACATCATGAACGATCAGATGTGTACTCATTAAATATTCGTTTTTAAAAGAAATTAAAGGGATAATTTTTCAACCTTCTCCATTTTACCGTTTTTAAACCTGTTTTCGCTCTTACATTACAATAAATCTGTATGAGTATTCACATTTATTTACGATTTTTTTCTCAAGCCGATACTCTTCAACCTTGAAAGACGAAGCGTGCCGTAAATTCCGGTTTTGTTTCTGGACATCTTTTTATTTCCGTTTTACGAGCAGTTTGGCCAAACCGGACCAAGCTTTCCGCAAAGAAATGCTTTTGAAGTGCCTTCGCTCATAAATTATCCACTCTCATTGCTGATAAAAGATGGAGAAGACGAAAACACCAAAGAAGAACGGTTAAAGGAGGAAGTAGATAAAGCAGTGAATGCAAGGTGCACCTTCCACATCGTTCGGAGCATACACAAAATGTTTCCGGAAAGCTCAGATGAAATTTCCCCACTTTCCGGGGTTCGTTGCAGATTCCCAGCATTACGTTTTAATTTCGCAAGCAGCTTCATGTAAATCTCTAAAATGACGGCTTAGCTCGCCGCTAAGGTTGCCTCATTTTCTTAATGAAATTTAATGAAAAGAGATGCCCTTAATCGTTGCACAATTTCGTAGAAAATTTGCTAATTATATCGTTTCAATCGGTCGAGCAGCTAAAATTAATTTCCACAGCAACATATTCACATCATTAGATCATAAATCTGCTGATAACGAAAAGAACTAAATTTGGAAATATTTTTTAATACCGACGTCAAGTGCCAGGTGTATTTTCAGAGATTTAAATTTTAGAGGTGCATTTTAGCGATGCTTGGTACCTTTAAAAGTGTTGCCACCGTAAATTATTCACTACTGTTATTGTGTAGAGAGAAAAACGGCGTAAGGGGGAAACAGAAATAGTAGAAAAAAAGAGTAGCTATAAATGCAAAGGGTGCTTGACGTACTAGTTTCTCTCCCTCTCTTTCTTAGATTGCAGGAATATAAAATGTATAAATTAGAGTGCTTAGATGAAATTTCAGCATTTATCAGGTTCCTTTCTAGGTCTCTAAGTATCTTCTTTAATTTCGTAAATTATACCTCAAGGAAAATCTCGGTGGAGAAAGCCGAATCATTAAAGAGAGCGTCTTGTGTAATTAACCAAATTTCGCGAAAAGAACTTCATCGCCTTTGCATCCGAACTCGTAAAAGCTATGTTTTATTAAAACATTCTGCAATTTTGATTAACTCTTTTATTTAATTCAAAATATGCAACATTTACGTGCAAATTCGAATATTGCCCGACAAGTCTGAGATTTTGTGATTTCTTAAGAAAATAAATGTTCAGAGTTTATATTCATTCACTTAAGAAGTATATATATTTAATGCTATGAATTAGAAATGTTTACGATTTATCTACACTTTGCATAAGCTATACAAATTCAGAGAAATTTATATATTAGTATATGTATTACTTACGTCTCGAAAACACCAACCGAAGGTCGCAGAGAAGGTGGATAATTATAAATCCGAACAATTTCACTTTCATTCTGCCAATTAGATGCACCGATTCATACTGATACTGAGCTTTGTCACTTTCTTTTTATATAGGCCTACACCTGTCCACTGTATCAATACATAGATACGTGTCTCTTGAGTGTTATAATAATTCCTGGCTCGAATATCTTCAATTCGCAATGGTACCCTCAAGAGAAATAACGTTACGCATCAAAAGAAATGTTTTCCATGAACTTTTAATACTCTTTTCTCAATTAAAGTTCCTTACAGAGCACATACTTTCTCTGATAATTATTAATGTACCTATACTAAGATAAACAAATTTTTCTTAAACACGGTTTATTTAAATTTAAGCTGTGCAATTTTTATCGTCTTAAAATCGTTTTTTTACCCTATCAGATTAATTTTCACGTGTCACGTTTCTTCATAAATTTCCCACAGGTAGAGTTCATGGTTAAATGACAGTTTCACACCTTTTTATAAATCATACTTATGCCATATTATGACAAGTATTGCATTACGCATGCTGCACCTGCATCGTCTCCTCGGTGTTAAAACCAGTCAGATGGATTGTAATCCGCAAGAAAGTGATATCTTTTGGTTTTGGATATCACCGAGTGTCGTGTTTCCCTTCTCTGGAGTATCACTTAACATACGTATTATGCAGCCCATCGCGTAGTCCAAATGGAACAAAAATCACAGTAAATGTTTAAAGGAACCAAAATCTTCACATAGCATACAATACAGAAGCATACCCACACGGGCAACTAGAAATGGTACACGTATATAAGATATCTAAAACATTCAGATGTCTAATAGATGTATACAAGAGTATACGGAATGTGCTGGGGCATGTACAAATGTCCGCGCCGTCAACATATAGTATATGTATTCTTGAACATTCCACTTTCATTTAATATACATTCCATATGGATAAAGTATGTATATTAAATGTAAACAAGATATATGGTAGACGTATTATGTATAGTAGACCTATATAGGATATCTGACACAGACGTACATACGTATGATAAACCAATAAATAAAAGTTTCAATAGATGGTATGCCTATATTCAAAAGTTTAACAGCCGTTCACTGGACATATTATTCACGTATAATATTATACGTATTTTATACATATATAAGAAGTATTCCAAATGTAGGTGGAATAATTTAAAAAAGTATTATTTATTTTGCACTGAATGCATTTTTTTTAGAAACAATTTACCACGATCTGTTCAGGGACCTGAAATCTTCGAGATATACAAACATCTGACATTGAAAAAATTCCCATGGTGGTGATCGGGATTCGACCCGAATCATTTAGGTAACAGACTATAGTAGGGCTGGCCACTGAGCTACCGTAGTCCTATGGATTATGCGATACGTTTCGCATATTCAAACACCACAGTAATAAGTTTAATTGAAATTTGGTTTAATCAATATCATTTATATTGCCAATCTCTGACAAAAAAAAAGGACATGTATATAAGTTTTATATATATTCCTTGCAAATACTTGTACTTGTATAAGAAAACCGTCGTGGCCAAAACGATATGTCTCGTGACATCATTTTGATTTTGTATGAGCTTCATTTTCAGTCTACAGTAGTCAGGTCGCACACCAATGAAGCATATAACGAACATGCAGCAAAGAAGCATTTAATGTACCATGTTATTTGAATACATCTAGGCACATATTATAAGCATTTGTTATATGATATACTTTATGGGTAGAAATAAATTTCCCTGTATGTTTGTTATTATCCGTATGTAATATGTATGTATGTCATATGTATACGGCAAATTAATGTTCATTTCCTTAATATTAGTGCAACTTACACATATTACATATCTTTTGCATGTGTGATATGTCAGACACAAGTGCGCCTTAAATAGAAGTATATTATATACGTTTAGTATACGTCGTTTATTTGTGAAAACGTGGTTGCTGTAGGAATGTATAAAGTACGTATATCAAACATACGAGTAAAATAATATATATTTGTTTACATAGTTACATACATGGAATGTACGTATATTTTACGTCTGTGGCAGGTCAATTTTTCTTCCCTTAATATACACAAAACATACGTTCATTAGATGTCTTTTGCATGTGTAATATCGCAGATACAGAAGTCTATTAAATAGAGATGTATTATACGTTTCTTAAACGGATTTAATTGGTGAATATGTGGATTCTCTAGTAAAGTATAACATACATATATCTAACATCTGAGTAAAATAATGCATATATATGTACGTAAAACATATGTATGTTTTACGTCCGTAACAGGTCAATTTTTCTTTCCTTAATATACACAAAACATACGTTCATTAGATGTCTTTTTCATGTGTAATGTCGCAGATACAGAAGTCTATTAAATAGAGATGTATTATACGTTTCTTAAACGGATTTAATTGGTGAAAATTTTGATGTTCTAGTGACATATTTAATACGTATAATGTACGTCTAAAATCCAATATAATATTTTTGACATTCCGTGGACATATATTATGCGTTTTTTTAACTTCTGATATACTGAAACATCCCGTAGCCATGAAAACATTCTATACACATATAATAGAGCTTTTGTTCCGTGTGGGTAGTATTCAAAAGTACTTCTATTGTTCATCAAAGTCCAACATGAGGAAAGTTACAAATTCATTGAATTTTATCGGATATTCTTTAACATTCGTAAAACCTAGTGCAATTTACGGGAATTGTTATCAAGAAACTCGTAGCGTTGAGCGATGCGAGAAACGCGCCCTGCGCGTTGAGTTCGAGCGAGACGCTACAGAGTTATCAAGAAACTCGTAGCGTTGAGCGATGCGAGAAACGCGCCCTGCGCGTTGAGTTCGAGCGAGACGCTACAGAGTTATCAAGAAACTCGGTAGAGTTTCGAGCCAAATACATTTTTGAGCGAGAAACTCGTAGCGTTGAGCAATGCGAGAAACGCGCCCTGCGCGTTGAGTTCGAGCGAGACGCTACAGAGTTATATACAGTAAGGATNCAGTGCTCGCCAAATAAAATGTTGTTTTCAAATTGAGTTTCTAATTTTATTTATATGGTTAGATTTAGTTTATATATATTTTTTATTTTATTAGATGAAGTAGAAAACTGAACATTTTCCCAGACATTATTCCGAGGCAAAACAAATTTTTTGGAATGGATGTACTTGTACTATGTGGGGGCAAAATATACTATGACATTTGGAAACAATAACTGATTAGAGTCTTAATAGTATGAAAGTACTATTGTATTTGGCAAAGATAAATGATTTCCATTGTAGAGCTATTTTTGTAATTGAAGTCGGAAATAAAAAAGGTATTTGGCAAAGTTTTTTTTACACCGAAGGTGTTTTTTGAAGAGTTCATATATACATATAATGGCCAATATTTTATAGTTAGAAGTCTTTAATTCAAGTAATTTACCTTATTTAAAAACAAACAAATGTACTTTGATCTCTATACGCGACAAATGGCATTCTGCACTTTGATCCAAAAATCGGATTAGCAAGTAAATTATTCACTTATCTCGAAATATTCGACCGAAAAAATCAGATGCCGGAGTGAATCATTCGGACTTGAGTGCTTTGATCTCATTTAGCTAACTAGATTATTATGGTTCAGTAATTCACTTTTCGGGGTAATATTTTTAACCAAAGCATAACAAACAGTAACATGACAGTAACATAAAAGTCCATGAATTTCAGTCTGCATTATTACAGTCTGCCATAATACAATATTTTGTTTCAGTTGAAGCAGTATTTTTATAAATTCTCCCTTCCAGGGTTGTATGCTACATCAGTCGATACAGGTCCTCTTCCGGGTTTTCTTCGTGTACTTTTTCGTTCCAGTAGCCATGCTTGAAGAGACTCTCGTCTACGCTCGCGCCATCTTCCGCCTTTAATTACGAGCCTCACTTAAACGTTTTAAAACTTATTAGCTCATTTGTTATTTTAATGCTGCCGGCATTACACGGCCAGTGAAACGGATAAGTGTGAGACGGTACGAGTACCCTCGTTACTCGGCCGTTTACACTTTACGAGTCCATCTGCGGCCGAAACGCCGCGGCGCGATCGGCCGCCATTTGTCTTCCTCCACTCTCGATTAAGCGCAGCGCCGCGGCTTGACCGATGCATCGCGTGATTTATAATGATTGAACCCATTGTTCGACGCGATTACTCTCTCTGGTGGATAATACCACTCAGCCCTAACGACTGCGATTTCACTTTGATTTTCAATTATCACGGACCGATGCGGTGCTTCCGACCGTTCATCATTTTGCGCTCAAAAATTACTCTTTTTTCTTCCCCTGGGTAATTTTCGTACTATTGGGTTGGTGCATAAGTTCGTGCGTTCTTTTATAAACGTTTTTTTGAACTAGGAAAACTAGTTACAAAAAAACGCACGAACTTATGACCCAACCCAATACAATTAGAGATATACTGGTTCTTAAATATTTAACACGTTCAACCCGGCGCATTTTTTGCCGCCAGATGAAAGCAATGCCTGTAAACCACCGGTGGTTCACGCCGGGTTGTACGTGTTAAGTACGGTTAGATAAAATTGGATTTTAATGTAGAGGATTCATTTAATAAAGCGGCTTGTACATTGCTGACGAAATTATTCATAATTATTTTATTGTTACATTATTATTGCACTAATTATATATCATTCATTTGCTACAGACATATATTGTTCACGTTATCTTTAAGAAATTCTTCATTTAAGGTATATGTCAGAGATATATCATTTAAAATTTACATACAGTGTTCAAAACGTTCCGTCCTTTTTTATTTCTTTTATTTCATTTCTAACTTTTGCAGCTCTACTTAAACGTTACTTTAAAGTTCATTTACGTAAACGACAGGACCTTGGAAATTACTTACCCACACGGAACAAAAGCTCTATTATACGTACATAGAATGTTTTCATGGTTACGGGATATTTCAGTATATCAGAAGTTAAAAATATACGTATAATATATGTTCACGGAATTTCAAAAATAGTCTATTGGATTTTAGATGTACATTATACGTA